AAGAAAAGAAGATGAACTACTCCAATGCAACCATCATATAAAGGACAAGAAAAGAGGGGCAAAGAGTTACTGCGGCCTCAAAGGAACGAGTGAATTAGTTGAGAAATGAGAGGCAGAGCCCCAAAAATACGTTTTCAGAACCATATAGATGCTAGCTTAAGAACAAGAAGCTGAACTCGGGGGCTGGAGGTTTAGCTCAGCAGCATAAGCGCCTGCCTTGTAGCAGGCAGTCGTGAGTTCGATCCCCGGTACCGATAAAAAGGAAAAAGACAAAAAAAAAAAAAAAGAAGAAGCTGAACTCTCTAAATCTAACCTATTACCATTCCCACGTGAAGAAGAACTGGAGTTGCTGCAGTGTTGACATTTCAAGCTACCACGGTAAGGTTTAATGAAGCAGAGGATTTTTTAAATGGGCCTTGACAAGTCACATAGAATTTGGACAAATGTAGGATCATACAATGCTCCGGGCAGAGAAAACACCCCAGACAGGTTTGTGTGACTGTGACCAGGTTTGGCTGACGTGGAGCGACAACCACAAGGCGGTGACACAGAAACAAAGGCAGACAGGTAAGCTGTCCCAGGTTAAAAAGGGACTTGAATCCAAGATCAAGCTGTGTGGTATAAGACTGCAGATCAACAAAGACCCATCTTCTAAAGCCAAGGACTTCACAGACAGCACTATCATTTTATGATTCTTGTCATCTTTATTTATTCTGATTTGCTGTACTTTTTATGCAGAGCTCTCAGAAATAGAGCTCAGTGTTTGCCTAGAGAGGGAGTTGGGAGGATGAATGATGACAGGTGGGGAACTACGGAGGGACAAGGTGGGGACAGCAAGCTGCCCTGATTCTCCAATAGAGCAGAACCCTGAAATAGAAGTGTAGAGAATTGGTGATTTCGACCCTAAGATAAACCCCAATGGGCTAACGTGAGACAAGGACAGCCTGAGAACCTCTAGGAAACCTGCACTTTGTACCAGCAGCATGTGACAAGAGCTGTCTTTTGCGGTCCCTGGTCACTCCCACCTCCAAATAGATGTCAAGACCACAGACAAAGCAACTCAGGCACACGCCACAATGAGTGCAGACTAGAAGGTCCTTTTGGATATACAGGGCAGTGTTTTGAAGACTGAAAGGTCTGAAATTGGCATGGCTAAAAGGGGTTTTGAAAGGGGCATATCCTTTGAAGCTGGACAAACCTGAATTTCAAATCTGGGCTTCTTACTCTCTTGTTGAGTGATCTTGGAAAAGTTACTTAACTTTCTCAACTTGGGATACGTACTTTGTAAAAAGCAAAAAAATACACTCAAGGGTGTGGAGAGGGCTGATAACATGGTATCGTAGAAACCCTCTGCTACAAAGTTCCTGGTACACACTTGGTTTTTGTTTCTTACTCCTTCTTGGTGTGTTCACTTAGTGAAATCAGCACCAGATAAAAGGGAAATTACTAACAACATCCTGTAAGCTCCCAAGTTCAACTTCCTTTATGAAACTCTTAAGTACAGTGCTTTGTTTGTTTCCTTTTTCTTCACTATTTAATAAAACAGGTACTAATGAACAGAAAAAAGTCAAATGTATACAATTAATTACAAGGAGTAAGAATGATTTGTACAACTCAGTAGGAAAACAGAAACATAATCTCATTTTCAACAGAATATGAGGAGAGATATCTCTAAAACAGAAATACAAATGCCCAACAAATACATATTATGGTGCAGATCGAAAATGTCCCTCAAGGCATCACAATCCTTTACTTGAAATGATACTATAAAGCTACTATGATAAAAACAGTGTGGTACTGGCAAAAAAGAAAAGGCAAGAGAAGACTCCAAGATCAATGGAACAGATTAGAAGATGCAGAAACAACTCCAGACACACTAAGACACCTTAACTTTGACAAAGGTACAAGACACATTTGCTGGAAGAAAGAGAGCCTCTTTAATAAATGGTGCTGGAAAAACTGGTGCTACATGCCAAAGATTAAAACTGGACCCAAATCTTTCACTAAGCTAAAATTTGAATGAATCAAAGATCTTCATATTAAAACAGAAACATTAAATCTGCTGGAAGATAGAGTAGGTAAAACCTTGAAGAGACTGGTGTAGGCAAGGACTTTATAAAACAAAATCCTGGTTGCATAGGAACTATCACAAAGAATCAACCACTGGGATCTTATCATGTTGAAAAGCTTTTGCACAGCAAGAGAAACCACCAAGAGAATAAAGATCCACAACAGGGGAGGCAATGTTTGCCAGCTGTACCTCGGACAAAGGATTACTATTGAGAACATGCAAAGACCTCAAAATAATCAGTCCTCCCAGATTTAAAGACCCAATCCAAAAAGGGCCATCTGAGATGAATACACACTTCACAGATGAAGCAATACAAATAGCAAATAAATATGTGAAAAAATGTTCAACATCACTGGTCATTTGAGAAATGCAAATTAAAACAATATTGAGATTCCACTCATCCCAGAAAAATGGCCATTATTAAGAAATCAACCAATAACAAATGCTGGAGAGTCTGTGGGGAAAATGGAACCCTTCTCCATTGTTAGTGGGAGTGTAGACTGGTGCAACCACTGTGGAATGTGTGGAGAGTACTCAAAAAACTAGGATTAGAGGTTCCATTTGATCCAGCTATTCCCTTCCTGGATGTCTTCCCAAAAAAATTAAAAACATCACTCCACAATGATATATGTGAACCCATGTTTATAGCAGCATGATTTGTAATAGCTAGATCTTGGAAACAACTTAAATGTCCATCCTTTGAGGAATGGATAAAAAAGATGTGGTCTTTTTATACAATGGAGTACTACTCAGCCATAAGGAGGATAAACTGGAGACCTTTATCAGTAAATACATGCAACTTGAGACCATATTCACAAGTGAAATAAGACACACGTGTGTAAACATTGTCTCACTAGTGTGAGAAACTGAAAGAAACAATGTATGTATATGCATATAAAAATTAATTAAGATAGTCATATTACTGATTTCTGAGTTCACCAAAGAAGATTTATGCCGGTATTGAATGCAGATGTCTTGTGCTCTGGGTGAATGATTTGGAGATGACAATGCTCAGTGCATGTACCACTTTTGTCCCCTGATTGATGTGTTTTCAATTTTTTCCTCTTTGAAATAAAATGGATTTAAAGAAAAATATCCCTCAAGATTCTCCTGTTCTGAGGTGGGACTTTTGGAACGTGATTGGATCATGAGGACTGTAACCTCTTCAATGGATTAATTCACTGTGTACAGCCCTCATGATTAATGGATTAATTCACTGATGTGATTGTAATTCAGTGGCACTCTTGGGAGTAACAGAAATCTAGGAGGAGCTGAAGCCTAATTGAAGGGAGTGGACCATGGGGCCTGACCTCCAGGACAAGATGGAGGCCTTCGCCTGTTTCTCTGTCTCTGTCCTTTTGCGTCAGCTTCTTGTTTACCATGCGGTAAGCAACTTTTCTCCACCACACCCTTTCCCACCACAGACCTAAAGGCAATCCAGCCATCAATCACAGACAGAAGCCTCTCAAATCATGAGCCAAAATAAACCTTTCCTCCTCTAAGTTGATTTTTCTCACAGCAAGCAAAAAGCTGACTAGCACATTATTAACAAGGGAGACACAAATCAAAACCCTCATGAGACATCCCTTAGCACTCGCTACAAAGATGGTTATGATCAAAAAGAGATGCAGGATGGGGAAGGACGTGGAGAAGTCAGAGTCTTTGTGTATTGCCGGTGGGAAAGCAAAATGCAGCCACTGTGAAAATCTGTACTTGCAATTCTTAAAATAGTAAATGTTTAGTTATAATAAGATACAGAAATTCTATCTATAGGTATAAAGGCAAAAGAATTTAAAATACATATTTATACAAAAAACATGATGTTTTTACTAGCATTACAGTGGCCAAAAAAGTAAAAGAAAAAAAAATGCCTAAAAATAGGTTAATGGATGCACAAAATGTGGCACATTCATTTAATGAAGTATTGCTCTATCGTGAAAGTGAATTAAACATTAGTAACACGGACGATGCTTGGAAACCTCATGCTAATTGAAAGGAGCTAGGCATGAGAGATCATGGGCAATTTTATTCTATCTATAGATGACATCAGCGTATGCAAATCTGCAGAGACCACAGACTCGGGGTTGCTGAGGGCTGAGCTTTAGGGCCAGGGCAAATAGGATATAAAAGGATGTGGAGTTTTTTTAAGGCGTAGTCAAAATGTTCTAAAATTGATCATGGTGACAGCTGTAAAATTCTGTGAATCTCTTAAAATCACCTAATTAAACAGTCTGACTCAGTGAACTGTGTGGAACGTGGATTTCATAGCAGTAAAGATGTACAAAGGAAGAAGGACAGATGGCCAAATCCTGAGACAGAGCTGCCTGCTGTGTTTGACTGAGACTTGCAGGCCCATACTCAGGCTGCACGCGGTGGAAGCAAACCAACCACATCACAGCACCAGGCGAGCCGAGCCAAGTGGGCTTTCTCCAGTCATTCAGTGTTCCTCTCCTCTTGGGTAGAGAAGTAGCATTAGCACCTGACCTTGGCAACGGACACTCTTGCGGCATGGTCTTGCGTTGTGGTCTCTGATAAAGGGCCAGTTCCTCACAGATAATGTCGCTCAGCCTCAGTTTGGAGAGGATTAGTGAGAGCTGATACTTCCCACAGCCATTAGTGAAATTAAGTCCCCAACTAGCCTGCTTCTCACACATGAAGTTCAGTATATTTCATCCAAATCTTCCGTTGGACACATAACCCAGAGTTTATTTCACATACGGAGTGGAAAAGCCCTTCCCCCCAAATTTTAATTCTCTGATTTCAAAAGTTAATTTTGCTCATGAATCTGAGCTCCATAGTGTCAGACTCCTACTTTTTATGAGTAACCATAATACTTTTTAGAGAAAGCAAGCAAGCAAGCAAACAAACCATAGAAGAGGACCAGGATAAAGTATGTTAAAAATGAAGTGAACTGTCTTCCCGTACTTACTTCCATGCTTAGGTCACCATTCATCCTGATGCAATCTGAAAGATCTGGTCTGTGTTCGGGACCCTCTGTGGGGCCTGGGCACCTGGGAGAAGAAAGTAAAGATACTTAACTACAATTGAAAAGCTGAAAAATTTAGCAGATATCTAACTATAACACAGTTCCTACTCTCCCAACACCATGCCGTGAAATGTCTAATTAAAGCCATGGTTTAAGTAAGACATCATAAAAGAGGACTCCCACCTCCACCAGAGAGAGGTGACTAACAACAGAAAAGCCAGCCAAAAATGAAAATAAAGAATTTGCAATTCAAAGTCTTGCTTCCTCAAACCCTCAGCACAGAAAGGGAATTTCACTGCGGGTAGACAGTTCTCACAAACTCCACGGACATTTCTGAATTTTTCCTGAAGATCAGTCTGCATACTTAAAAAGGCAGGTGACTGAAAATGAGCAGTGAAAGGGGATGGGTGCGGAGTCAGGGGTGAGTTCCCACTGGCCTAACTTCATGGGAGAAAGGATTAGAAACATGAGCAAAACTCGCATCTAAGTTACTTAGCAGTGTTACAGAGCATACACCTAAAAACTGGGAACCATCCTAGGTGGCCTACTTTGATCTTTCAGGATTTTAGAATCAGTATTATAAAGTTCAAAAGTTATAAGCCTTTAAGTTATAAGCCAAAAGTTATAAGCCTTTAAGTTATAAATCTTCAGGACATTACAAAAGTTCCTTGATAAAGACTTTATGATCTCAGGGCATGAAATTCTAACCAATTAAAACATTAGGCAGTGGGAATAAGCTGCCTTTGAAGAGGAAGGTGGGAAACTGTGCTCACTGAACTTACTTCTGTCCTCTAGTTACATACAAAGCATCATCTTTTATTTCTCCTTCCTTGGACCTTTCACAGGAAGCATGGGTTGGGTGTGTACTACGTGAGAAAGATGTCAATACCAGCCTTGGAATCCCTGTGCAGTTCTCTAGATTCAAGGCATCTGCAGTAAAACAGAAAAGAATAAAAACTGAAGGTAACTTCCAGTTCAGACCATATAAAGAGTAAACTCTTCCCCTTTTGACAGATTCACAGAATCATTTCTGAAAAAGTGAAAGTCAAACCAATTCTATTAACATTTTATCAGAACTCACCTAGATGGCTAGTTACAGGGATGTGGAAATATACAATGTTTTTTTCTTAAAATGAAGGATAGAGGAGCACAAAAAACCAACAATGTACAGCCACCAGGCAAAAGTCAGCCAGCACCCTGGTTTTGTGAATAAAGTTTTATTGAAACACAACCACACACATTTGTTTACATATTGTCCATGGATGCCTGTGCACTCCAATAGAAGGCTTGGTAGCAACAGAAACTCTATGTACTACAAGGCCTAAAATACTGTTGGCCCTTTATAGAACAACTTATAAACTCCTAAAGAGAAAATTACTGGACATGAGGGCAACCCACTAAAAGTGGTCCAGGAAATAGGTTAGAAAAACAAACCCTTTTGGGGGTAAAGCATCTTGTGTATATTTGTATGCTTAGGATGCTGCAGGGTTTAGCAAAAACCATAGACTTTGGAATCAATCACAGTGTTTTAGTTCAAATCCTGGCTCTAACATACACTAGTCATGTGGGTCTTGGGTAAAAAACTAAACTACTCTGAATCTTAGTTTACTTACATATAAAGGGATGCATGACATTGCACAAATTATTGGCTTAATATTCCTCATCTTTAAAACAGGAACTACATTAGCATCCTTCCTTCATCGAGGTGAGAATTGAGTGCATACATACATAAAGAGCATAGAATGCAGAAGGAACATAGCAAACATTCTTTAATTGCTGACATTGTTGGTGGTCACGGTTATCACTGAAGCATCATGAGTAGAATAATCTCTTGGACACCCGAATCTACTGTCCAGCATGAAACTGGACACTCCATTAGTGGTGGTAGTGGTTTCTCCACTAGTCTAAATGATCCTCAAATCACTTTTTATTACTTCTTAAATATATTTTGATAGTTGTCTCATTTCTGTTGCTCTTTCAGAGCAAGCATGAGCTCAGAGTCAAGGCCCTGTCTCTCACCACTCTGTGACCTATTTGAAAACTTATTTCATGGTGCCTTTTATTACATATAATACAGTGTAGCTGTCCAGCTGTATAGACAGATAGATAGATGGATTGGGTTCAGAAATGAATACATAAGTATTCAACAACTCTTCCTATGCAAGTATAATTATAATTTTTTTCAGAAATGCCCCCCACCCAGGCCCCTAGCACTGTATGAGCAGGGACAGGAGGAGGCTACATACTTACCCAGCAGAGGCGAGCACCAGACTGAATGCTTCAAGACCAAAGGCCTCCGGTGAATTTTTGCTTCCTGATCGCCATGTAGTTTGACGCAACAGTGCTTCTGAGCAGAAAAACCAGTATTATCAGCTCTTTAAAAGAACATTTCATGACTTACTTCCTCATCTATTTTCTTCATATTCTAAGAAAGTATATAACCGGTCTCAAGAGACCCCGTGGAAGAGATCAGAAAGAAAATAACTGATGTCAAACAAAAAGGATTCATGCTTCTAATCAAAAGGTAGACTTATGAGTTACCAAGAACCATATCAAAACCCCTACCTCATAGAGATAGCGTGAGAATTAAATGAGTTCATAGACACAGTAAGTGCATAGAATGTACTAGAAACAGCAAACATTCTTGAAGCGCTGACACTGCTGGGGAGCGTGGTTATCACTGAAATATCCTGAGTAAAATAATCTCTAGGATGCCCTAATCTCTTATCCAATACAAAACTGGACACTCCTTCGGAAGTGGAGCAGTTTCTCCACTAGTTTAAATCATCTTCAAGTCACTCTTTTTTATTACTTCTTAAATTTATCATGATAATCATCCCATTTATTTTCAAAGAAATAGAATTCTTATTTTAAAAAACATTTCAAGGGCTAGGGATATGGCTCAGTGGCACAGTGCCTGTCTAGCAAATGCGAGGTCCTGAGTTTGATTCCCAGTACCAAAGTAAATAAATAAAATAAAAATGAAAATATTTCAAAATTTTAACAGAATACTCTGATCACCATTTCAAATAATTTACAGTTTGATATAAACAGACTTTGCAGGAAGGGCAACGCAAATTATATAATTTTTTATGTTACTGCCATCAAAAACATTAAAATTTGCCAATTCTTAGAACCAGATAGGATATGAAATATTTTTTTTGTCTTTTTGAGACAGGGTCCAGCTGTGCAGTTCACGCCAGCCTTGAGCTCACTTTGTATGCCAGGCTGGTCTTGAACTCACAGTGACAGTCTTGCCTCAGCCTCCTGAGTGCTGGGATTACAGGTGTGTGCCACCACACCCAGCTCTGTATGAAATTTTTAAAAATATCCATTTGCTTATCTGGCAATATTTTAAAGACAATCAGTATGTTTATAGTTCCAAGGCTGTTAACATATAATGGATTCAGGTTTCTATTTTGGAATGGTAACTGACTCACAACTGGTACCTGAGTAAACTCATAAGACTATACTTACCAATTTTTCTTGAAGAGGTTGCTGAATTTTTTCTGTGGAGGACAGGGGTTCACAGTGAGAGAATTCCTCATCTAAAAGGTTCTGTCATGAGACAATAGTGGAGTATATTGAGAAAATTAGGGAAGGACCAAAGATACAAAGTACATCAGAGCACAGAGAAAATGTAATATACCTAAAGCAGGTAACAGCACTGAGTTCTACTTGAAGGAAACACATTTATAATTGTAAACTTCCCAATGGATATTAATCTACTTAGGAATAAAATCCAAAGATCAAACAGGGAAGTGCACGGTTCTGTCATTAACATCTTTATACAGAAGCCAAAGAAATTTGGTGACAGAACTTGAAATGGTGAAATTGGTGTCTATGAAAATTTTACAGTAATACAACTTTGGTCTTAATCCAAGAGACTTATACATATCTGTAATTAGTTACAATAGAAAATTTTGTAGGTGATTCTGGGAAGATTAAAGCTGCTTTAGATATGGGTTTTTTTCCAGCTCAGTTTATTGCAAAGGTTTTCTCGGTACTCTGTCTGGCTTAGTCTGTGTGTCTGTCTCTTTCTCATATATACACACACAGTTTTTTCCTGATTACACAGCTGTGTCTGTGCTATGCTTTAGAAAATGCTCCCAGCATCACTGTCCATTCTTCTGTGTCCTTCTTTCAGAGTCATCCGCACTAGTCCCTTACATTCTTCACTTATGAACCAAACAGGAGACTCTGCAATTATCACAAGAGAAAAAAATATATTTGTCTATACCATGGATCTTATGAGAGATCCAGACAGACAGGCACTAGTAAGTTTAATGCAAAAGGAGACAGAAAAAAGGACAGTAACCATTGACGTCTGTCCAAAAGGTACTCACAATGTCAGCAAATGATTACAAATTGAAGTACGTACTCTTCCTATCAGAAAGAAAGTGCCCAAACTCAAACACAGGCTTCTTGCTAATAGATAAGAGTGGCCAGGCAAAGTAAATTCTGAAATGCTTCTGCTTAGCAAGATGCTCTCAGGAGCTGCTTACTCCTGTTTTGTTAAATTCTTTCAGAATACAGGGAACAAAGTCCACTAAAGCATTTTCTTCTAAATTGAGTATTAATGGTTAAAATCACTATATACGATGAATTAACTTCAAAATCTTTTGTGAACTTGGCATCTTCCCCACAATACACAAACATGCATCTCAGGGATTTTCTTTTACCTGAAACAGCAAATCATGGAGTCGTCCTTTAGTTATCTGCTTTTGTAGTGACTCAGCAGTGGCTATGAAAAGAATTTGTAAGCAGCTCAGTTTGATCATTTTAACCCCTTTGCCCACAATGCATTTTATTGCTTTATAACCTTTTGTTTTCCATTTGGGACCCCAAGGAAAGGATAGGGAACACTGACTTCTAACAATAGCAGTCTCTACTAAAACGTGGGGAAAATACAAAGCATGTTGGAACAGCTAAGTCATGATCACTCTTGGGCATTAAACACTAACAATGCAAGGAAACTGTCTTCTAGATGTGAGTCACAGAATTACTCAACTCTAAAATAAGAATACAGGGACTAGAGGTAAAGCTCAGTGGTAGAGTATTTGCAAAGCTCTGAGTTTGATCCTTAGCACAGCAAAAACAAAGCAAAATAAAACACTTTATAAGTCATTAAGTCCAACCCCCTTTACATGCAGAAATCCTATCTCTATTAGGACCCTATAATCCCAGGAGTCCTACAGGTAGCTCTGAGACCTTGAGGGACACAGATGTCCAGGAGACTAAGCTGGTTGACTGGTACATCATGGAGCTGAATTATTAAAAATATTTGCAATTCACTCAACTAAAATCTGTTTCCTAGTAACTGTCAAATTCTCATCTCTCTGAAAATGGAAATGGGAGAAAAATATCTTATTTAATAATGTAAGTTACATAATCACGTACTGCCTATCTGGCAACCCATCCTTTTTGAAATACAGCTGGAAAGGAGAAAATAAGCCCAAATCTTTTGAGCCACCAAAATAGATACAGTACTGATGTCCATGACCTTTACTCACATGACAGATCTCACACATTAACACAGACAGTGGGCTCTGAATTTATACATTATTCTCACAAGCTCAACTGCTTTCTACAGTAAATTAAGAGCAAAAATTAAAAGAAGGTAGCAAGCTCTGCTAAATGCAAGTATATTAATAGCTGGGACTATTTTTTTAAATCACTAACGGCCAGGAGAACTATTTACAGCACATCTTCTGGTGTCCAAAGCGTAGAGAAATCTGGTGCTTACTTTACAAACCAACAGTTTTATATCTCACCAGCCTGAAGAAATTTTGATGTCACAAAAATAATATATGTGAAAAGAAGTACACAGTCAAATTTTAAATTTTTTTCAGGATATAAGTTTTTAAAGCTTTAATTGTATGGAATATTACCCATGTAAAAATTCCATTTCACAAATACTTTTTATGGAAATAACTTGCCTTTCAACTGAGCATGACATAACATTAAATTTCTCCAATATCAGTGGTGGCGAGTCTATGGCACCAGGCTGTTTGTTATCCTTGAAAGCTCTAAAAGGTTCCCCATTACTGTCCTACAGGTAGTACTAAAATTTCATGATCCTAATTATCTCCAGTAGGAGAAAAACATTTTTAACCCTAAGTAATTAAATTGTTTTTCATTAATACTTAGACTCAGACATGTTCCAATTTCTCTGTGTTAACCTAACTGTAAAACAAGGCCTTGTCCTTCTGACCTACATTCACACAGCAACTGAAGCTTTCAGGAGGGCCATCGTGTTTCTGAAGGTCACGTATATCTGAACACTCAATCAGAACACTGTCTTACAGGCATAAAACTAAGCTTGTGCTGGGAATAATGAGTGAGCACACCATCTACATTGCCCATCTGCTCCCCCACCACACAATCCTGGGTTTTAAAAACAATCTACCTCACAGCATTCAAATTGAATATCTTATTTGAACAGATGTTTTGGGCAGTGTATAGCAACTATTTCCATATTTTCTGTATAGCAAAACAAACTGGCTTATGACCCCAATTTGCGTTCACTTTTGCATTGTTCTGGGTTTGGAGTCTGATGTGCAATATGTCTATGACACTTAGGCTTCACACAGATGCAAGCAAGGCAGTGGCCAGCACCTCCCCCACTGCTGCCATCTGGATGCGTGTTGGGAGCAGGTGCCCTGGATGCGTCACCTTTGAAGGAAGCTGAGACAAAGCCACTTTCTAAATGACTATGTACTGAAGCTTTTGGGCAAATGGTTGACAATTAACTGACTGTTCAAAATCAAAACCACAACACTGTTAGTGCTTTTAGATCAGTTATCAATGATGGCTGCCATTTACAGAATATGAACTCACAAGATACATGTCACCCCAAAAGAAACCTTCATGGTGTCCAAAACTGTGCATGAATAACATCAGGGTTATTAATCACAGACCAAGAAAACTATTTACACATCCATATTTGTCTAAGGACTTACATATCTAATAAAAGGACAAAGAACACAATTTTTAAATGGGCAAAAGGGGCCAGAGATTTAGCTCAGTGGCTCAAGTCCTTGCTCGATAAGCACTAGGTTGTGAGTTTGATCCCCAGTCCAAAATAAATAAAATAAAATAAGTGAGAGACTTAGATACTTTACAAAAAAAGATATACAAGGCCAATTAGCTCATGAGAAAGCTCTCATCATCTTTTATTTCTCTAAAGAGTAGAAATTAAAATCACTGATACATCAGTAAAGTACCTTAAATGAAAACAAAGCCAAAAAACTGATAATATTTACTACTGGAGATGTGGAATACCAGAAATTTCCACACCGTGCTAGTAGAGTGGGAAATGCTAAACACCTTGGAAAACTGTTGGGTAGGTTGTTAACAAGTTAGAGCACCAACTACACTATGACTTGGTAGCTTTACACCTAGATATTTATACCAGGTGAAATAAGAACACATGTCCACACAAAGACAGCTGTTCATAACAGTTTTCCCCAATATAAATTAAAAAGGTAAATACTTTAGATATGCAGAATGGGAGAAAAGACTATCAAATTGTGAAATATCCATATAAACAAAATACAATTCAACCATAAAAGGTATTACTGATAAACATAACATAGATGCATCTCAAAACTATTAGGCTGAGGGGGGGAAGCAGATATGCAAAGGAACACAAATAGTCCAACTCAATTCTAGAAGAGGCCAAAGTACCCTAATCAGATCAGTGGTTGCTCCTTGTGGCAGGCCTAGGGGAGAGGCACAGAGTTGGGAAGTAGCTCAAAGAAACTTTCTGATAGAAGTTCTGTGTTTTGATGTGTATTTACCTAACCGGTTGAAGAACACACTTATGGTCTGAATTCTTTATGATATATTATCCATAAAAATCTGAAAATTAGGGGCTGGGGATTCAGCTCAGCGGCATAAGCACCTGCCTTGCAAGCAGGCAGTCGTGAGTTCGATCCCCAGTACCGATAAAAAGGAAAAAGACAAAAAAAAAAAAATCTGAAAATTATAAGAACAAAGCTAACACAAAAGTTTATGAGACCAACAGGGTTAGAAAGAAATCATTCAAAAATATGTACAACACTGTCTCTACAGCATTAACAAACACAATGGCTAAATTATTGCTACCTAAAATGGGGATCACCCAGATACTCATCTTACAACTCTCCACCAGATACTAAAAATACATAAAAAGGAGAGTGGAAATGCTAGTGATGCCTAAAATGGAACAGTGCTGGTAGGGTGCTGAGGAGGGGTAGATGGGAATAGAACTCTCGGCAGGTGGGGCAGTCAAGGTGCACACAAGGTGCCTCACAGAGGACTCAGGCTGGGTGGGCATCTTGGGAGAGGAGGGCTCTGGTGCAGATGCTTATTGATAATTTTCTCATTATAAAGTTGAAAGAGTTCTTGTTGCTTGTTGAACTGCGAGGCTAAGGGATTTTTTTTTCTTTCCTCCTGCAGATGGTAGTTCTATGCCTTCCAACTCAGATCCTATTCTCCAGGAAATCATGTATGAAACAAAGGAACTTCCCTGTTATCCTAAAATATCATTCCCCATTTACCAATATTCACAGATAAGGGTAATTCACATTATAGAAACATAGTACGGCAGAACATATAGACCACCTATGGCCACGTGGTAACCACTTTTTGCAGTCATATTATTTGTAATTCACAACAACTGGGTTGCATGGAAGAGACTATTGAGGCACACAGCGGTAACATGATTTGCCTAATTTTACCCAGCTACTCTTTTGTAGACTTTGAGTCAGGACACAGATTTGCTTAACTTCAAAACCCACACTCTGAAACCACTATACCATGATAATATTACATTTGTATCTACATTTTCATTTGGGAAAACCTGGATTCCTACTCCACCAGAACTGTTGAACAGGCTGCATTTGGCTTTGACTTTCTCCTTGGTCCCAATTCCAACACATTTTATCTTTATGCATCTTATCTTTAATCATTATTTGGCTAATTGTCCTTGATTATCGATTGCTTGGGACATGTGGTCCTCACCCATCCTCAGACCTTAAGGTCCCCCTTTCACACTTCACACTCTCCATTCTGAGAAAAGCCAGTTAGAAAAGAGTTTTCCATGAGATCATCTCAGGAAAGCTTTCTCAAAACTGAAGTTCATGTGCAAATACTAAGCTCAAATAAGGAACTGTGATATACGTGAGTTTCTTACAATCTCTCCCCAAGGAAATATTTATGGTTCTTAAAGGTAATTAATTCACTTGTTGTCTATTAAATGAGTGACTCACCTTTAATTTCACATCAACTAGAGCAAGAGATGATGAAAAGTAGAGATGATAGTTTGAATTAGATCAATTAGTCTATGATTCCTGTAGATAAGATGAACCCTAACGTATTGTGTGCATACCCTAGATCTAAGAAATTGCCTAATTTCCTTTTTAAAGCTAAGATTCATTTATAACCCATGACTGTACATAGATACAAGATACTTAGCTGTAAAAAGATTTAAAAATGTATAAGTAACTACTCATGAAGTTTAACAGTTCTGGTGGCATATTTCACAGAGGAAGCATGCACACAATCACTTTATAAATCACTTTGGTCATAATGGTGGGTGAAAAGTTTAACAATATAACTCAACATGAAGCTGAGGATTTATAATCAAATGTCATAAGCAACTCCCAGTTGTGGTTTGTGCACATTGTCTTTAACCTGAATATCTGAACAAACTGTACAGAATCCCCAAACAATTTGCTGATAAATCTTCTCAGATAGATCAGAAAGCAATGGTTTTGAGCATTGGGTTAATTTATTAACCTAGCCAGAGAGTTTCAGAAGAGCTAAGAAGATTTAAATATTTTTCTTTTCTGACTCAGAATTCAAATGTCTGACTCAGAACTCAAGCACCCTGAGGTGGCTGTGGCCATGGTGTAAGGTGTGTGGATGTGTTTGTGTGATAACTGACTTAGCTTTCTGTTGTCTCTGTACATCTGGAATAACTGTATTCGAGACATTTTAAAAGTGTGCTCTACCTCAATATTCTTCTTCTCCCAAGATTGGGATATTATTAGAAGACCCCTTATAAGTAAATAGTGTTTTAAAAAATACTGATATGTGTGCCTTCTTTGGGCAGGAAAAACAAAACAAAACAAAAACAAACAAACAAACAAACAAAAGAAACAAGAAAGGGATTTCATAAATCCAGGCAGTTTATGAGCAACTTAAGACAGAAAGACATGCTTGCCCTACATTTTCTAGCCCTCCACCCCAGATGCAATCCAGGGCAATATTCACTTGTTCCTTTAATAGGAGAAACCAGTTATTCCCTAAGGGTATACTAGGAAGACCGTGGCAAGTTGATGATATCAAGATTGTGCACTTTGGGGCTGGGGATTTAGCTTAGCGGCATAAGTGCCTGCCTTGCAAGCAGGCAGTCATGAGTTCGATTTCTGGTACCGATAAAAAGGAAAAAGACAAAAAAAAAAAAAAAAAGATTGTGCACTTTGGGAGAGGTTACAAAAGTTAATTCTTCTAAGGAAGTGCTAAAAGGAAGGCATGTGTCATAGCTTATATTTAGATGTCCCCCCAAAGCCTCATGTGGTCAAAGGTGGGGCTTTTTCAGAGGTGGCCAGATCTAGAGTGTGTGACATTGGAGTTGATTCATGGTGCAGTTGCTAGGATCAAGGGCACTAGGATTAAGAATGTGAGTGCTACCCACTCTGTATAGCTTGGATAAGATAGATAAAAAGAGCCATGGTGATCCCTTGTTGCTTTGGTACCTTCTGCCTGCCATGAATTGTTTCTCCTCTGTGATGGCTGTCTGCCATGCCACTCTGCCTGGAAGACAGTTATGGACCGAAACTTCTACAAACTGTGAGCTAAATAAACCTTTCCTCCTTTAACTTTAGATGTTAGAGTATTGAGAAAAGTAAGTAAGACAGCATGGAAAGAAGGAAAGCCAAATTCTTAGCATCCATAAAAAATTATGGGGCATAGCCAAGCAGAGTGGTACATGCCTGTAATCCCCGTACCTGGAGAGCTAAGGCAGGAGGATTGCTGCAAGTTCAAGGCCAACCTGGGCTATAAAGTGAATTTAAGGCCAGCCTGAACTGCATAGTGAAACTCTGTCTCATAAAGACAAAAACAAAACAAAACATCCTGGAGTATAATATTAGGGGCTGGGGATTTAGCTCAGTGGCTTAAGAGTCTGCCTGGCAAGCACAAGGTTGTAAATTCAATCCCCAGTACAAGAGAGAAAGAGACAGAGAGAGAGAGAGAGAGAGAGAGAGAGAGAGAGAACAGTACAATATTGATTTAATGTAAAGATAACTGCCTTAGACCACATTTGGAAGGACTTATTCATGTCTCAACAAGAACCATTATAATCACTAAGGAGTCTTCCGCAATATCCTCTGAGTAATAAGAAAATAATATATGGACTTTGTGATTTAAATCATGCCTTACATTGGTGATAGGGTGACCCAAAATAAACTGGTTGGAATAAAAATCTAATAAACTCGTAAAGATTTAAAAATAATAAAATGTTGAATAACCATTGCTACTTTAAAATTTCTTAAACTCTTAAACAGCTTTCTCGGATGACAGCATAAAGGATAAAATAAATCCAAAACACATACAAGCCTGAAACTTTTCATGTCTAGTTCACCTTAAGCTTATAGTTAGTTGTTTATTACTTTCCATAAAAAGAACATTTAAACAGCTAGCATAAGTTCACTGAATAAAAGCAGTTGTCTGATATGTGGCTAAATAAGCTTTTTTTTTCTAGATTAAAAAGTTTATAAATAATTTGACATCTGTAATTTGACAATTGTCTTCTCACATGTATTATTAGTATGTACTTATGCACATTTAGGCAAAAGAAAAAGTACAAATATTCCAATTTTTAAAATGTAAAATATGCAAGTAAAGCACACATTAAAAATTTTAAAGTTTTTTCACATACCTAGTATTGTAATATACACTGAATTCATAAGGGTTTCTCCCAATCCCTTATTGAAAGAAGATATAGGAGTAGGACATTTTTCTACCATATGACAGATCAAACCTCACTAGTAAAATCAGGGCAGAAATATGTAAAACAACTTAAGGTACAAAATACCCCAAATGTGCACTTTTTTCCTCTTTGTTTACTTTAAGAAATTTGAGACGTTCTATCTAATTTTAGAAGAAAAAAGTCATGAACAAATCTAACTCAAATAAACAACCAACAAGAAAGGTTAACAGTTAAACCCAAGTTCCCCAGCTACTAGAGAAAGCTCTTCGAAGGGCCCCAATCCAGTCTTCCCAACCCTCCCCACTGTCATAAATTCAGTAATAACACAGCAGCAGGAACCCAGAAAAAGAGCTCGAGAGCTCTGGCCCCACCTCAGGGTAAAATGAGCTGGGTCCTAAACAAATATCTGCTACTTACTTTTCAGTGTCCCTGTCTTCTGCTCCAATGTCTGGCAAGCGTTCGACAACCCAGTGTTTATAACGTGGAGGTTCTGCTGCTCCAAAATTGCTTCCTGCAGTTCAGGTGGTAGAGCCTCGGCTTTTTCACTGGCAGAGTGGGCTGTCCACTCTCGATTCTTCACCTGGACACACACAGTTAATAATGGGTTTTAGCAGGTGACCAGGAAAGAAAGCAATCAAGCACTCCTCGCTCTGTTATGCCCACGAAACTGAAAATATGGTTTTCTTCTCAGGGAAGCGATAAGCCTCTACTGAACTTCTGCAATTCGGTGTTTGCATGGTGTGCCTGAGCTATTTCTACAGCAGCAGAAGTCCTGATGTGTCAAATCGCCTCCTTCTGCAATGTTGCCTCTTTCATGAGCGGGCTGTTGACACCGCCTCTTTTACAACTCCCCCCTATACTTCCTCCGCTCACTGCTAGTCACTAGGGACTGAACTTTACAGTTTCTCTTTTTTTTTTTTCTTTTGGTTCCTCCTCCATTTTTACTTGACGGTTTTAAGGACATCTGAGGCGCTTTCCTCTGAGTCTACTATAGCCAGATCTTTCCTACCTGCTGTTTTGCTCCCAGGCATGAGTGGGGAGAAGGAAGGGAAGAGAAATGGGCAGTGATGTGGATTAACCCCTAATCCATGGCATACCTGTTCGCTGGCTTCTTGGATCTTCTTCCTGAGGATCGCTTCCTGGTTAGTAGCATCTTCTGGCACTTGTTTGATGGCTTCTAGTTGTTTCCGACTGATGTTTAAAAAAAAAAAAAAAAAAGAAAGAAAGAAAGAGTCCAAACCCAAACCACAAGCTGTCAGTGACATTTCAACCAAGAGTCATTTTGGGAGACTGTGACAAATTTAAACGTATACTTCCTGAGAGATCAGAGAAAAAAAAGTGAAAGTATTTACGTGCATATAAGTTCTTCACAAATGCAGAATTTTAAGCAAGTGATCACTTAGCCTTTGCTTGACAAACGAGGACACTCTTTTCCTGTGTTATACAGGTATTTTCAATTCCCCACAGGTGATGTTCAGAGCACTTAACATCAGTTGCTTGCTTAGGAGGTGGCTCTACATTGAGGTCAGGGTGACAGGTGCAACACTCACATTTCACAGCTAGTTTTTACAGAAAAGGAAAAAAAGGAGGGGGCACAGAGGAAAAGGAAATAGTGTCTCATGACCTTGACCTTTTCGCCTGGAAGGCTGTCAATCATGGTACACATGTGTGTCATTAGCCTAGGAAGGGCAACCCCCAAGCAGGGATGAAATCAGCTGTGGGTATTTCCACTGCAGTCCTCTTTTCTAGAGCCCTTGGTATCACTGTGATTCCTCATTTGGATCCAATACTAATTCTCCAAATATATATGAATGCATCCTTCTATTAGCTGATGAAATTATGTGCTACATGTCAACATATCAGTGGTTATCTGGAAAATAATGGGCTTAAGGGCCTTCATTCAAAGGGATGAAAAATTAGAGGCATATCCAAGCAGTAAGGAAGATATCTTGAGGCTTAGGCCTTTTCTTCCCTCTCTAATGTCAACAGTCAGCATTCCATTGGCATGAATCCAGTCCTGGTTACAAGAAGGACCACACCAGAAGCAAGGATGACATTACAGAATGCTTTACCACTGATACACGAGAAAGCCCTAAACAAAATAAAAGCTAAATCACCACAAGCATTCTGTTGGACATCCAATAGTTTAGAGTCAGTGGTGGGAATTTAACTCTAGCGGGAACACAATGTGATAGCTACCCTCCGAACACACTTACTGAAACAATACAATATTGTTTGCTAAAGGAATAATGTACAGCAGATCACTAACACTTATTCAAGGTGAACGACACTTTGTACCTGTACTTACAACTGCCTGTTTCTCCCTCCTCCTGAGCCTGCAGGAACTATCATCTTACTTTCTGCTTCTAGAGGTTTAAGTATTTTAGATAAATTCAGATAAGTGGAATCATGCAGTATTTGTCCTGTGATTATGTTATTTCACATAGTAGCAAGTCCTGCATGTTCATAATCATTGTCACTGGCAAGCCTGTGTGTACACACACACACATACATGCACAAATTTAGGAGATATTTGACAAATAGGTTGTTTCTCTATCTTCATTATTACACTGCAATGAACATGGAATGCAAATCTCTGAGATCCTTATTTCAAATCTTTTGGGTAAATATCCAAAAATGGAAATACTGGGTCACAAGGTAGTCATGTTTTTAACAATTTTTTTTTTTGTGTGTGTGTGTGTGTCTTTTTCTTTTTTATCGGTACTGGGGATCGAACTCGCGAGTGCCTGCTTGCAAGGCAGGCACTTATGCCGCTGAGCTAAATCCCCAGCCCCTATTTTTAACATTTTGAGAAATATTCATACCATTTTTCTCAGTGCTTGACCATTTTGTGTTCCACCAACAGTGCAAAAAATTTCCATTTTTCTTTACATCTTACCAACAGACGTTAACTTTTCTTTTGTGCTTATAGTAGTTATTCTAAAGGTAAGAGACAATATCTGATTTAGCTTTAATTTGCATTTGTTGGGTGATTATTAATGCTGAGTATCTTTTCATATAATTGTTACTCGTCTGAGTATCACTGGAAAAATGTCTATTCAAGTCCTTTGGCCATTTTAAATCATGTTTTTGCTATAGTTGAGTTCCTCTCACATTTTGAATGTTAACCCTTCAACAGATACATGAAGTCTGCCAACATTTTTCATCCATTCTATAGTTTATCTCTTCACTCTGTTGATTATTTCCTTTATTGTGCATAAGATTTGTAGACTGATGTAATCTCATGTGTCTATTTTTGCTTGCATTCGTTTGTGCTCTTGGCATCCTAAACATAAACTCCTATGAAGATCACAAAGCTTCCCCAACATACTTTCTCCTGTAAGTGCTACAATTTCAATTCCAATAGTTAAGGCTTCAATTTTGAGCTGACCTTTGCATGTAATGTATGATATCCCTGTTTGGCCCAATTTTATTCTTTTGCCTGTGGCTATCCTGTTTTCCCAGCAGCATTTATTACAGCAATTATTCTGTCCTTACTGTGCATCCTTTGCCTTCATATTAAATATCAGTTGACCACATACACACGGATTTCTATGCCCAATTCTGTTCACTATTCTGTCTATCTTTATGCCAATATTATACTGATTAACTACCATGGCTTTGAAATAGTTTTTGTAGTTAAAAAGGATAATGTCTCCAGCTTTGCTGTTAAGATTTGCTATTCATGGTTCCATATGAATTGTAGGATTTTTTTTTTTTGCTCTTTCCATAAAAATGCTTATTGGAAAGAAAATGGAAAAAAAAAAGCTCATTGGAATTGCACTGTAGCTATGAATTGCTTTAGGCAATTAAACAATGTTAAGTTTTCCAATCCATGAACACAGATCTCTTTCCATTTTTGTGTCTGTCAATATTTTATAGGCTTTAGTGTGTCTTTCATCTCATTACCTAAATTTAAAGTATTTTGTTCCTTTTGCTGTTATAAGTGAGATTAATTTCCTGTCCAGATAATTCACTGTTAACATAGAAATGAAACTGAACTTTGTATGTAGATTTTGTATCGTGCAACTTTACAGAATTTAGTCCAACAAGTTTCTTATGGAATCAACTTAGTTTTCAACATATAAGATCATATCATCTACAGATAATTTTACCTCCTCCTTCTGATTTACATGCTTTGTCAGCTTGCCTATACACTCTAAAACCTCCCCATCCTATATTAAACAGAAGCAGTGAGAGTGGACATTATTGTTATTTTTCCAGATCTTAGAGGAAAAACTTTAAATGTTTCAGTTAAGATCTTAGCTGTGGGCTTTTCATAAATGACTGTTACTATGTTATTTTCCCAGATTTTTATAGGAAAAACTGTTCTTAAATGTTTTCTCTGCATCTCACAAAGAGAACTGTGTGACATCCTTTATTCTGTGAATTGGTGTCTCACACTGATTGCACTGTTGAATCATCCATGCATTCAGGGTTAAATCCCACTTGGTAGTGCTTAGGAGCCTAACATCTTAAATTTTATTTGTGCATATTTTATTGAGGATTTTTCTTCAATATTTGTGAAAGACATAGGCCTGGAAGTTTTTCATCCTGTTGTTGCCTGGTTTTGTTATCAAGATACTGCTGGCATAATAGAGTGAGTTTGGAAGTGTTTGGTTTTTTGTTTCTTTTTTAAGAGTTTCATAAGTATTGACTTTTATTCATTTTTAGATATTTGGTAAAATTCATGAGTTAAACCATCTCATCCTGAGTTTTTCTTTGTTGAGAGGTGTTTAGTTACTGAATCAATCTTACTAGTTATATGTCTGTCAGATTTTTGGTCTTCATTGTTCAGTCTTACTAGGTTGGATGTTTCTAGGAATTAATCCATGTTCTTCTAGGTTATTTAATTTTTTCATGTTCTTGGCTTTTAGTTATTCCAATGTTTGTTTTATATAGTTAGTGCTATCATGCGTGCATGGATATTTATGATTATTATATCTTTCTGGTGAACTGAGTCTTAATATATTATTATTCTCTGTCTTTTGACAGTTTTTGATTTCAAGTTCACCCAATATAAGTACAGTCACACCTATTTTGAAAACCAGTCACACTGAGTATCTTTTACCATCCCTTAATTTTAACCTGCATGTGTCCTTAAATTTAAAGTGAACCTTATATACAGTATATGTTAGATCTTTTAAAAAATATTTTCAATCCCTGTTTTTTGACTGTGGAATTTAACCCATTTAAAGTAGTTATAATAGGAAAGGACTTACTGTCTGCCATTTTGTTTTCTGTGTTTTATTATTCTTTTGTCCTTTTCTACTCATTGTCTTCCTCTTAATTTTGATATTTTTGTATTCATATGCTTTGATTTCCTTTTGTGTGTTTTCTACAGTACTCTCCTTTTGGTTGCCATGGGGCCTACATAAAACATCTTACAGTTTTAATGGCCTATGACAAGCTGGTAACATCACATAGACTCAATACTTTTACTTTTCTCCCTCTACACACTTTGTTCTTAATGTCATAGTTTACATCTTTCTATATTGTGTGTTCATTAATGCATTTTAGTACCTTTGTCTTGCATCTTTTACATTAAAATTAAAGGTGATTTACTCACTACCATTCCAGTATTGCATATACTTTTGTCAGTGCATTTTCCTTTGTTTTGTTGTCTCTTGCAGTTCAGGCTGGGCTTGAGCTCACTTTGTAGCCTGAGCTGATCTCAAACTTGCAATGATCCTCCTGCCTCAGCCTCCCAAGTGCTGGGATTACAGGCACACACCACCATACCCGGTTTTATCAGTGCAGCTTTTCATGTGCTTTTGTATTGTTATTTAGCATCATTTTGTTTCAACTTGAAGAGCTCTATTTACCATTTCTTGTAAGTTGGGTCCTCAGCTTTTGGTCTGGGAAAATCTTAATTTCTCCTTTATTTCTGAAGGATACTTTTGCTAGGTATCACATGTATGGGCTTTTAGCCCTTTGAATCTTTTATCCCACTGCTTTCTGGGCTGCAAGAATTCTACTGAGAAATTTGCTAACAGTCTTACAGGGTTCTTCCTTTCATGTGCTGAATTCGCTTTTATCTGGATGCTTTCAACATCCTACCTTTGGCTTCCACCTATTGCAATGTACTTCACCGGGAATTTCTTTGAACTCACCTTGCAGAGGTCAGCACATCTGTTTCTTTCCTCACACTTGAGAAATGTTTTGACTGTTATGTGTCTAAACAGGCTGCC